AGAATAGAAAAGAATAGACAATAAAAGAATAGAATAGAAAAAAAACAATAGAATGGAATAGAATAGAATAAAATATAGAGAATATAACCGTCTTCTGAAATTAGAATTTTGAACAGAATCAATTTGAATTTGAACTAAAAAACAAATAAACAAAACTAAATGAAATGTAATGAAACAAATTTAACTAAACAAAATTATGTAAATAACGAATCGAAACAAAACAAAACAATTAGTTTTCGTTTTGCACATGTCTACCATAATCGCAGTTCTGAAAAAAGGAACAGGTATATAGAGCCTCCAGGTCCCCCTCTGAGAGTAAAGTGGAAATAAAGGTTTGTTTTCTTTTTTTTTTAATAACAAACATGTTATACTTATCTGCCAATGGACACATACAATGCAGCTCAGCCCTGCCCCTGCTCCCACCTCACAGGATTTGATTGACAGCAGCAGGAGCCAATGGCTCCTGCTACTGCCTTCATGTGTAGTGAAGAGAGAGAGCAGCACCGTTGCTTTCAGACACAGTATTTTTACCATAATTTAGAGAATAATGACAACATAGCAATAACAATGTGTCCACCTTGTCCAAAATTGAAGAAAAAAGGTTTTGGGTATACATACCCTTAAAGAAGAATTCATCCTGGACCAATCTAACTATGTACATACCATACCTGTGGGATCCCTTTAGAAGCTGGAAATCACTGTAGTAGACACTGCTAATCTAGTGATCTCCACTCACTTCTGGGTCCTGTGCTGATCGACTGACCTGCTGCATTGTGAACACAGGAGGTCAGCCACTGGGCACAGGTGCCATTCATTTGGATTTTTTGTAATTCGTCCTCCCTCCCAGTGCTCCACCTTGCCCAATCAGAGAAGATTTTGCATTCATTGAGAAAATGCAAGGTTATCTCTGAATGGCTCCCATGCCAAATGGCAGACCTTCTTTATTTACAATGCAGCAGGACAGCCACTCAGCACAGGACCCAGAAACATGTGGAGATCACTGGAGTAGAGGTGTCTACTACAGCAATTTCCAGCTTCTAGAGCAGCCTTGAAAAAGCTTTCTGGTCTCAGGGAACCCCTGCTAAAAATGACTACATCTACAAGTCATGATACATTGGTGTGATGGTCAGTGGGAAGAATGCTCCTTACACTTGTGGTCATTGGGAAGAATTACCCCTTACAAATAACTAAAAAGATCAATGGTGTCAGTGGGAAGTTATCTGAGAGGTAGAAATTGCTCATTGCTCAAGGAGCCCCTTGCAACCTTTGAAGGAGCCCTAGAAATTGCTGTTTGCTCAAGAAACACCTTGCAATCTTTCAAGAAACCCTAGAAATTGCTCTTTGCTCAAGGAACCCCTTGCAACATTTGAAGGAACCCTAGAAATTGCTCTTTACTCAAGAAACACCTTGCAACCTTTGAAGGAACTCTAGAAATTGCTCTTTCCTCAAGAAAAACCTTGCAACCTTTCAAGGAACCCTAGAAATTGCTCATTGCTCAAGGAACCCCTTGCAACCTTTGAAGGAGCCTTAGGGTTCCATGGGACCATAGAAATTGCTCATTGACCAAGGAACCCCTTGCAACCTTTGAAGGAACCCTAGGGTTCCATGGGACCATAGAAATTGCTCATTGCTCATGGAACCCCTTGCAACCTTTGAAGGAACCCTAGAAATTGCTTTTTGCTCAAGAAACACCTTGCAACCTTTCAAGAAACTCTAGAAAATTGCTCTTTGCTTAAGGAACCCCTTGCAACCTTTGTAGGAACCCTAGAAATTGCTCTTTGCTCAAGGAACCCCTTGCAACCTTTGAAGGAACCCTAGAAATTGCTTTTTGCTCACGAAACACCTTGCAACCTTTCAAGAAACTCTAGAAATTGCTCTTTGCTTAAGGAATTCCTTGCAACCTTTGTAGGAACCCTAGAAATTGCTCTTTGCTCAAGAAACACCTTGCAACCTTTGAAGGAACCCTAGAAATTGCTCATTGCGCAAGGAACCCCTTGCAACCTTTGAAGGAACCCTAGGGTTTCATGGGACCATATAAATTTCTCATTGCTCAAGGAACCCCTTGCAACCTTTCAAGGAACCCTCGAAATTGCTCATTGCTCAAGGAACCCCTTGCAACCTTTAAAGGAACCCTAGGGTTCCATGGGGCCATAGAAATTGCTCAAGGAACCCCTTTCAACCTTTGAAGGAACCCTAGAAATTGCTCATTGCTCAAGGAACCTTTGCAACCTTTAAAGGAACCCCAGGATTCCATGGGACCATTGAAATTGATCATTGCTCAAGGAACTCTTTGCAACCTTTGAAGGAACCCTAGAAATTGCTCATTGCTCAAGGAACCCCTTGCAAACTTTGAAGGAACCCTAGGGTTCCATGGGACCATGGAAATTGCTCATTGCTCAAGGAACCCCTTGCAACCTTTGAAGGAACCCTAGGGTTCCATGGGACCATAGAAATTGCTCATTGCTCAAGGAATCCCTTGAAACCTTTCAAGGAACCCTAGAAATTGCTCATTGCTCAAGGAACCCCTTGCAACTTTTGAAGGAACCCTAGAAATTGCTCATTGCTCAAGGAACCCCTTGCAACCTTTGATGGAACCCTAGGGTTCCATGTGACCATAGAAATTGCTCATTGCTCAAGGAATCCCTTGAAACCTTTGAAGGAATCCTAGAAATTGCTCACTGCTCAAGGAACCCCATGCAACCTTTGAAGGAACCTTGGGGTTCCATGGAACACTGGTTGAGAAACCCTGGTCTAGAGGGATCCCACAAGTATAGTATATGCATGCTTTAGTTACATTGGGCCGAGCTGGACCAGTATAATGATGTATATATTATCTATACCGGTATTCTTTCTTGTAAAAACATTTGGGAGACAAATAGCACATTAATTTATATAGGTGAGATCCAAGAGGGAGGCTGAGAGCAATACAAAGTAATCTGGGTGTTATAGAGGTACTGTCCCTCTAAAATAGGGATAGTTTGCTAAACAAAGCGCAAAATTCTTTTCAACACCAAGGTTAGCAGACCCTCGTAAAATGATCAGATCTCTACCTAGCAGAATTCAGCTTAAAAAAAATAAATTGCAATATATTTTAACTTGTGTGGGAATTGAACAAGCAAATGGTCATTTAATGAAATCACACAGATAAAGACAAGGTGTCATCAGCGGTCATCTATCACATGCAGACAATAAGCACAAAAGCTCTGCATCTTTCTTTTAACAAGATAACCTCGTCTCCACCTACTTTACTTCCATAATACTCTAGAAAGGGGCTGTCATGGGAATAATAGGGGGCTGCAGAAAAGATATATGATCTCTTTATATGTCCTTCTGTGCTAATGGTCTTGTCACCAGTGTCAGATCTCTGCCACTATGAAAAGTGTTTTTTGTTTTTGTTTCTCTTGCATACAATATGGCGGAGGATAACACAGAATTGGTTAGCAGGAAAAATGAACTGGCATACAATGAATGACATGCAATAAATTTCTCAGTGGTGAGAAAGTGGAGTCAGTTAATGCAGAGAGTCTTAAAACCAGAAAATAACTTTCTTAAAGGGGCATTCCACTTCAAACAAAAATTGGGTTCTCCACCTGGCATCTTTCCTTAGAAACATGTCCTAGATTGAAATAATGCTTTATGCATCACATGAGTATTATTTTTTACAGAGTAATTCTGTGTTTTGCTCTGGCTGGCAGCATGGCATAGAACTGGACAGAGTGGACTTTAAAAGAAACTTTGGATAGAGGTAAAGCTGAACCCCAGGTACTTTTTTTGCACAGTTACATTGATCCAGCTTGGACCAATCTAAGTACACATATTTCATACCTTTGGGACCATTGTAGATGCAGACAGTCACTGTAGTAGTCACTGCTACTACAGCAATTACTGACTTCTTCTGGATCCTGTGCTGAAAGGCTGCCCTTCTGCTTAGTGAACACAGGGGGTCTTCTTTATTTTTTTTAAAGTGTTACTAAACCCACAAAAGCAAAATCAGTCTGTATATGCAGGAAAACATGCTTGTTATACTCACTGTGGGGTTAATTATCTGCATTCTGTAAAAAGGATGTTTGACCCTTTCGTCTCTGCCCCTCCTCTTGTTGAAATGTCTACCTGATACAGACTGAACCTATGGTCATATGCACATGCTCAGTTTGGTGTGTATTGCTAGAGAGGGTTTTTTTTTCCCTTGGGAGAGCATGTGATCAGCACAGGGCCAATCAGCACTGTCCAGACAGAGGGTCAGAGGTTTCACATCCTCCTAGAGCAGAAAAAAAACTCCTACAAACTTTAACCTGTGCTCTGCTGAAGTCACAAGACTGCTCTAACTGCTAATGAGAAAAGGTATTTAGCAGTTTATATTTACTAAAATAATTGCATTTCCATGTTGTGTGTACTGTGGGAGGCCAGATATAGTGAATGCAGGGTCCTTGGTTTACTATCATTTTAAGGAATACAAGGTGTCTTCAGATTGAATGGTGTGACATCATGACACAACTGCCTTGCCTCTACACCTTGTCCAATCAGAGAACATTTTATATTTATTGAACAAAAAAAAATACAAGGTGTTCTGTGAATGGCGGCTATGGCCAGTAAGAAACCCCCTGAGGTTGATTTACCAAAAATGAAGAGTGCAAAATCTGGTGCAGCTCTGCATAGAAACCAATCTGCTTCTAGGTTTTATTGTCAAGGCTTAATTGAGGAAGCTGAAGTTAGAAGCTGATTGGTTTCCATGGACAGCTGCATCAGATTTTGCACTCTTATTTTTAGTATATCATCCACCTCCCTTGTTCACTGTATGTACAAATGTACCTGCCTATTTGCAATTTTCTTTAGAAATTACACTGAGCTACTCATGCTGGAATCAATGATCTCCTGTGCGCATGCATGGCAGTTACGTCAAGATGGCCAGAGATCCTGGACCGAGAAAAACAACAAGATTTTAATTCAACGTTAAAGTGGAACTTTCCCCATAACAACTTGGTAAAAATAATGTTCTTTAGCAAAGAGCATACATTCCACATGAATAATTTGCTACCAAAATGAGTGTGTGCTTTAAATGTGATCAGCTGTGTCCAATCACAGCTGATCACATGTAAACACGGAAATGCCGGTTATCGGCATTTCTCTCCTCTCGAGCTGTCACGCTGACAGCTCGAGAGGAGAGGAGAGCCGGTAATCGGCTTTCCGCAGAGGGGACATGTACACTGATCATCAGGACACTGATGATCAGTGTGCCCTGATGATCAGTGTGGCCCCAGAAGTGCCACCTGTCAGTGCTCATCAGTGCCTCGTGCCAGTGCCCATCAGTGCCACGTGCCAGTGCCCATCAGTGCCACATATCAGTGCATACCAGTGCACATCAATGCCACATATCAGTGCCCATCTGAGCTGCCTTTCAATGTCACCCATCAGTGCCAGTCAGTGCCACCTATCAATGCAAATCAGTGCCACCTATCAGTGCTGCCAATCAGTGCCGCCTAACAGTGCCAGTCAGTGCCGCCTATCGGTGCTGCCTATCAGTGCCATATATCAGTGTCATGTATCAGTGCTGCCTTTCAGTGCCCATCAGTGATGCCTGTCAGTGCCCATCAGTGCCACCTATCAGTGTCAATCAGTGCAGCCTATCAGTGCCCATCTCTGCAGCCTCAATAGCGCACATCAGTGAAGGAGAAAAACCACTTATTTACAAAATTGTATAACAAAAACTAAGAAAAAACTTTTTTTTTCAAAATTTTCAGTGGTTTTTGGTTTGTTTAAGAAAAATAAAAATCCCAGAGGTGATTAAATACCACCAAAAGAATGCTCTATCTGTCTCAAAAAAATGATAAAAATTTCATATGGGTACAGTGTTGCATGACCGCACAATTGTCATTCAAAGTGTGACAGCACTGAAAGCTGGAAATTGGCCTGGGCAGGAAGGGGGTATAAGTGCCCTGTAGGCTAGTGGTTAAAAATACAAATCTACATTTTTGGAATGCATTTACAAATATATCTAAAAATATATGTTACGATTACTATTTTATATGTAAAAAAAAATCTGAAGAATATGTTATTAAAAAATATATTTTTCAGATTTTTTTAACATTAAAAAAGTAATTTTATATTTTTACATATATGTGTAAATGCATTCCAAAAATGTAGATTTGTATTTTTAAAGACACAGTGTATTTGAAATGTATTTTAAAAAATATTTTTCATTTATTTTGTAATAAACACGCATTTCAACATTCAATATATATATACAGTGTATATATATATATATATATGTATATATATATATTTATTTATTGAAATATATTGAATATGGCCACAATTGTAGCATTTTAAATATATGTCAAAATATTTGGAAAGAATATTTTTTAAAATATATTTAAAATATATTTTTCTTCGATATGAGTCTGAAGAGATGCTGGAGGGTCTTCTGTGGTTTTCATTACAACACTTGGACTGATCAGTTGGATAAAATAGACAGACAGCTACCCCCCACTGACTCTGAGGCAGTGCATTGGAATGGGCTGTCCCTATATCTATAGAATAGAAGCAAGTAAGGGTTGACAAATAATTCCTTACTGTGGAAAAAAAATAAACTTTAAACTCAAAGTGATCCTGCTGCAGATCCATCCATATAATGGTCCAGAATAAAGATTCTTGTGTATAGAAATCCTATTTATTACCGTTATATACACACACTGTATATAGTGCTGTTAGATTGTAAGCTCTTATGAGCAGGACCCTCTTAATCCTCTTGCTTTTTTATTGTATTGTGACTGTACTGTCTCCCTTTATATTGTAAAGCGCTGCACAAACTGTTGGCACTATATAAATCCTGTATAATATTAATAATAGTAGCGCTCAATTCTTCCGTAGCTCTGTAGTGTAGTGCTGAAGTGTCTGGAGGGAAGTGTACTTATATTGTATGGTCATATTCCATATTCTATTCACCATAACCAAGTCATTCCGCCACCCTCCCTATATACAGTACAGTATAGAGCAGCGTTTTTTCAACATGTGCCGCCGGCACACTAGTGTGCCGTGAGATAATTGTCTGGTGTGCCGTGGGAAAAATTCCAATTTCATCTGTAACATGTGGCTTCGGCTCACAAATAGACCCAATCATTAGAATCTAATGATTCAGTGGTCGGCAAGCCGCGGCTCGCGAGCCACATGCGGCTCTTTACCCAGTCTAATGCGGCTCTTTCTGTGTGCCGGCGCGCTGCTCCCCTCCCTCCTCTCGGTCGGATAGAAACCGCTCCCCTGCCTCCTCTCGGTTGGCAGCCCCAAAAGTCCGCGCGGACCTTTTAATCCGGCTTGCGGATGTCAACCACTAGATGTCCTCCAATGTACAGTTTTTATTACTATTACCATAACCAAGTCATTCCGCCACCCTCCCTATATACAGTACAGTATAGAGCAGCCTTTCTGAACATTTTTCGAATGGAGGAATCATTGAAACAATTCTCAGGTCTCAGGTAGCCCCTGTTAAAAATGCTTATACCTACAGCTCATGGTACACTTATGTGATCAGTAAGTTGCAGAAAGTTTTAAAAAGAGAATAAAGACCACGGTTTACGCATGCGGTGCGGAGTATTTGAGATCCCACAGAAGAGTTTTTCACACCACCCGCTCTGTATATGACAATATTATTTTTTGGTAACAATCTTGAAATGAAATAAGAAATGGTATGATGGAAATAAATGCAGACAATAAAAACTGTGGTGTCCTCAAAAATTAGTGGTCAGTGTAGAGTAGGGGTGGGCAACCTTAAAGAGGTGGAGATCTACCTGAACAACATTATTATTATACAGGATTTATATAGCGCCAACAGTTTGCTCAGCGCTTTACAATATAAAGGGAGACAATACAGCAACAATACAGTTCAATACAAGAGGGATAGGAGGGCCTGATCCTGGGAGCTTACAATCTAAGAACAACATGGGAGAAGTCAAAGATCACCGGGCACAGTGTCGACCAGTGTCACCTCCTCACACCTGATTTAAATCTCTAATTGCTGTACTACTGTGTCACAATCGCGTGCATTACATGGCAATCGTGGGCAGGCCCAGACTGGGACAAAAAATAGGCCCAGGCATTTTAGACAGAGCAGCCAATTTTTCCGGGGAGGTGGTGAGGGGGGGGGGGGGGGGGGGGGGGTGTGTTCTAGTGGGCATTCATGGAGGAGGTTGGTGGTGATGGGATATTCATGGAGTAGGTCCTTAGGTCCTCTGCACTGTAATGTAAAGGGGCACTGAAATGATAAAATGATTATGGCGCAGTCCCCTTTATATCACAGTGCCCCTTGCAGTCATGCCGCTGCCTCTTTTCTCTCTAATCACAGTTACCCCCTTTTATACTCTGCCTCTCCTGCACAGTCCTACTTTCGGCAGAGCAGGGGCAGCGTTCAGTCTGTGTGTCCTCTCCAGGGTCTGCTGCTCCACTGACAATGTCATCCTATCGGCAGTGCAGGGGAGGGAGGAGCTGCAGATCTGGATCATATTAATAAGCAGGTGATAAGCTGGTGAATATGAAAAGACTCCCGCTCTCTTTGCAGATGGGTGGGGCGAGACCCTGGAGAGGACACACAGGGATGGCCGCATAGTGCCCCCCTCTCCTGAGCACTCTGTATATCAGGTCTATCTAAATAGATCACTCTCTCTTTATATATGGGATTCCTCTCTATACTGTATATCAGATCTCGCTCCTTCTATTTCCCTCTCCTCTCTCTCCTTCTCTCTTTCACCTTCTCTCTCTCTCTCTCTCCTTCTCTCTCTCTCTCTTCTCTCTCTCTCTCCTCTTTCACCTTCTCTCTCTCTCTCCTTCTCTCTCTCACCTTCTCTCTATCTCTCTCTCCTTCTCTCTCTCCTTCTTTCTTTCACCTTCTCTCTATCGCTCTCCTCTCTCTCACCACCTCTCTCTTACTCTCTCTCTCTCTCTCTCTGGGATCTCTATTTCTCTCTCTCTCTGGGATCTCTATTTCTATCTCTGTCTGGGATCTCTCTTTCTCTCTCTCTGGGATCTCTATTTCTCTCTCTCATACTTTCAGGGCCAGCAGAGCTCTCTCTGTATCTCTATGTCTTCTGGCTCTCCACCGGTCAAATGTTGTTGCTCTGCAGCCGATGACCGGGCATGGTGTGGTCCCTGAACGCTCCTCCCCAAGTGTCAGTCCGGGTCCCGCCCCCTCCTTGCTCCTCATTCTTCTGTGTCTGATCTGTGCACTGCTCCAGGGGGATCAGGGCTGGATCAGCCGGGGGAAGAGTGGGGTCAGTGCAGATCTCCAGCTCCTCTCACAGCGGAACGGGAGAGGAGACACAGACACATCCGCATAGCGGGAGGTGAGTGGTGACAGCAGTCACCACTTACCTCCCGCTATGCAACCCAGTCATCAGCAGACCATGGACCGGTACCGGCCCGGGGGTTGAGCATGGCGGCCCTATTCGCTGCACTTGCGGATCAGCCCTTAGTCGCATCTGGCAGCAGCACACTTAGGGCTCGTTCACATGTAAAGTTGGGGTGTGGTAAAACCCAGCAGTTGAGTCATGGTTTTACCGCCCCCAATCCCTACCCTCTTTAGCTGCTGAGGCAGCAGCCAAAGGTATACACATGCTGCAGTAGGAATTACACCCCCTGTTGCTTTTGGTGGGTGCTACCACCTGTCAATCGAGACCCATTGAAGTAAATGGGGCCATTCTGCAAGTGTCTCGCAACTGAATGCTTCTGTGGGGTCCAAGGGGTGAAAGCAGTTGGTGAGAAAGCAACACACCGCTGCCTATTTAACCTCTTGTTTACTGTACTGCACAACGTTGCAGGGCGCTTGCAGAGCGGCCCCATTCACTTGAATGGGTCATGCTTGGCAGGTGCTACACCCACCAACCATGACAGGGCATAGGAGCCAGCACTACAGATGAGACATCGGCTTATGCGGCTCTTGCTCCCTACTACAGCTCCAACTTTACAAGTAGTCCCTCTACATTGCACTCTGGTTGATGCTCTGAGATGGTGGGTCAGCAAGCCCTGACTGTGACCTACCAGTCACTTGACCGAGATCTACTGGTAGATCATGATCTACTGGCTACTGACCCCCGGAGTAGAGTGTGCTATTACCACCCCACCTTTCCATCTTGTCCAATCAGAGAACACCTTGCATTCTTTCAATTGATGCAAAGCATTCTCTGAATGACAATTCTAGAAAATGTATTAAAAAAATCTTAAGAAATGCACTCACTAGAGTTAAAGTGACACATGGATGGTGGAATACTGCTGGGTCATTGCAGTGAGTTAGCCGACAATCTCTCATAGGGATACCAGTGCCTTGGCCAAAAGCATAGCTGATCCATTGATAGAAGAGAGCCAGCATCACCGCGAGATGGTTAGGACAGCTGACAAGCCAGGATGTGCAGCTTTGAGACCAAGATCCATTCTACTCTGACATCACCCTCAAACACGCAATAGGATGCATTTCAAGGTATCTCACCTTTTCGTCAGCCTGCATAGTGAATT